TGCAAAACTTCTTGAACCACTACTGCACTGTGTGGTTATTAGCTGTTCCTGGGCCAAATGGGTTGTTGATGTTGTGAGTTGTCTCCGCTGCTTTACAACCCATTTTGAACTCGAATAAGAAAATTGCTCAAATTTGCTTTTTGCCTAACATCATTTCCATAGTCTGAAATAAATATAAAATAAACAGCAAATAATAAGTTATTAGCAAAAAACATAAAGTGAGAAATGCATATTAAAACGATGTATAAGATAGCCACATTTATTTAAGAATGTATTCCAGTATCAAATGGCGAATTTCAACAATGCGAAAATCTCAGTTACTTTTGCACCAACATAATATCTCTCCTAGCCAAGGTTAGATTAATTTTCAACTCAGTTGTCTGCGGATGTCCTGTGGCAAAATCAAATATTTAGTCTCTTCCAAATTCACAGAGAAAAGTAAATATCTCAGCCGGGAGATAGCTCAGAGGGCACAGAGTCAATCAGTCAGCTTGCTATTTGAATCCCAGGTAGGGTGAGTGAACATTCTGGTTTGCCCAGGACTGAGAGGTTTCTTGGGATACAGGTCTTTTTGTACTAAGACCAGGATAGTCCCAGGTAAACCAGGAAGGTTGGTCACCTAGCAGCATCATTGCTTTGTGGTGATGTGAGCTTGTCTCCAACCTCCAGGTTTGTTGTGAGAGTTAAATGAATAACACTTGTGAAGCTCTTGAAGTGGGACCTGACATTTAAAGGTAAACTCATTCATTCATGTAGTAAACACTAGAGGATCTAGGCACAGGAGTACAGAGGTGGGGAAGACAAGGTTTGTGTCCACATGGAGCTTAGAGTACTGGCTGGGGACAGAGGAAGGAGGGCTAGGTAAAACATAATTTCAAAATTCAAAGTGCTCAGCCTGGGCAACATAGCAAGACCCTGTCTCTAAAATAAAATTTTAAAAATTAGCCAGGCATGGTAGCACACACCTATAGTTCCAGGAATTTAGGAGGCTGAGAGGCAGGAGGATCCCTTGAGCCCGAGAGTTCAAGGCTGCAGGGAGCTATGATCAGGCCACTGCACTCCAGCCTGGGCCACAGAGACCCTGTCTCTAGAAAAAAAAAAAATCAAAGTGCTAACAGGAAAATTAACAGAATACCGACTCACAATAGTGAAAATGAAAGTGGATGGGACTAGATAGCTTAGGAAGCCCCTCATTTAGCAAAGACTGAAATGTTGCCTATTAGTAGTGGATAGTAGTAGTGTTATTAGTTATCTGTGAGATAATTCTAGCTATTAAAATTTTTAAATCTTTTGGTACCTGCTGTACCACTTATGTGTTAGAAACAAAATATTAGGTCATTAAATATGAAATGTCCAATTTGGAATCAAAAGTTTAGTTTTTATATCTCAAACAAGAAGCAGTACAATTAATCAAATCAATTAGTCAAAGTATGCACCTAAACTATCAGCACAGTTTTGCCATCTTAACCGTAGCTTGTTTATGCCAGCAGCAGCAAAGAAGCCTGGAGAGCGGGTGGCGATGAAATCACGAAAGGCATTTTCCACAGCTTGTTATAAGTTGAATATTTTTCCTTGCAAGAAGTGGTCCAAAGCCTGGAAGAAGTGGTAGTCAGTTGGTGCAAGGTCTGGTGAATATGGTGGATGACAGAGTTTCCAAGTCCAGCCTCTCTAATTTGAGCAGCGTTGTTTGTGCGACGTGGTAGAGCAGTCAAGCAGTCGAGCATCATCTTGCAAGAGGATTGGCCTGTCTATTGACCAGTCTCGCCTGCTTCATCGCAAGTATCCTCATCATTTCATCCAATTGATGGCAGAAGACATCTGCTGTAATCAACTGACCAGGTTTCATGAAGCTTTAGGGGATACTAGCAGCGCTGGACCACCAAACAGATGCCATTAGCTTTTTTTGATGAAAATTTAGTTTTGGCACTTCATCTTCATCCAACCATTGTGCCGAATGCATGCTATTGTCGAAAAGAATCCATTTTTCATCACACATAACAATATGGTGTAGAAATGGTTCACCTTTATGTCATGACAGCAAAGAAAAGCAAGGTTCAAGACAGTTTCTCTTCTGACGCT